GTGTGTGAGAGAGAGAGAGAGAGAGAGAGTGTGTGTGTGTGTGTATATAATGCACATAGAGTTTCATGGCAGTACATTTCAGGCGTGGCAAAAGTTCGTGTTGGCTTCAGTCAGGGTTGCCAGATTTTCACAACAAAACCCGCCCAATTGCTTCTCGAAACTAACCCAAAACTGTCCCAATGGCGTTCCTATGGGTAAGATACATATTTTTGGCAGGGTTCCCTTAATAAAATTCGAATTCCAGAGGTAAAACATCACATTATTGGTGTCGCTTCAACCCGCGGCAACAGTGTTAAAGAAGCCCGATTCCGCGGGAAAACCAAGGATTTGGCAACCGCTCTGCTGTTTCATTAGCCCCTCCCACATCATCAGCCGCGCGCCGAACTCGCTCATAAAGACGAGAGACGCAGCCTGAACGCGTTAACTAACCCATCCACTCACCGCAGAGCAGCGTTAACTAACCCATCCACTCACCGCAGAGCAGCTGGGAATATCAGTGAAATAAACCGCGGCGCCTTCACGTCGGATTTAGCCCAACCATTTCTGCGAGAATTCAACAGGTGAGGAGCACTAAAACCGATCAATATCAGCCATAAACACGATTTACAAAGCGACTCGATCGGGTTCAGTCTTTTTCTTTTATTTATTCGATTCTATTCTGTCGCTCTGCAGCTGTGAAATGAACTCGAACAGTCTGATGTAGATGATTACTGTAATGTTATATAATAATCACATTCTCTCCCGCTCGATCATCAGTGACTCATGAATCACATTCACGTTCGACTCGAAGGAAACTTTATATGCACTGATGGTCAAAGATTCACTTCTGATCATTTACATGAACATCTACATGAATTAACTGACACTTAATGTTGCTTGGAAGTAGTTGTAAATTTGTGGAATAATAATAATATTATTATTATTAAGTAATTAATTGATAATAAATGTTTATTTTTGCCGTCTCAGGACACAATGTGTAACATGGAGCCTGGATTCAGAAACACACTAAAGGTGAGAGCAGTGTGTGTGTGTGTGTGCTGCGCTCTGATTGGTTGAGCTCCGCGCTGCTGTAGAGTCATTGGAGGTCAGCTCGGTTTCGCCCACGCTGGCACGGAACAGGAAGGCCATATATGGTCATGCGCTCCCATTGGTGGCGCAGACTGTGATGATGTCACGCGTGAGGCGTGTCCTCTGGCCTGTGCTGGTCTGAACTCGATAACCGGTTTCTGAAGTTTATAAATGTGATTAGGGAGTGTGATGTCATGTAAATGTTTAAATGATCTTGTGTTTGTTTGTCTCAGCGTCAGGCGGCGTTTGAGCTGTTCGAAGACCCCATGTCTCTGTTCTCGGGGTTTTATCCGGTCGAGGAGGAGCCGGCGGCTCAGGAGGTCCCCTCCGGTCTGGACTGTGTCTCTCAGGGTAAATAGAACCAGCAGGACCCCGACACGCACTACTGACCGTCAGTCACACAGCTGTATGTGTATGTAATCTCACGTGTGCTGCAGATGCCGGCGTGTGCTCGGTTCCTCTGCTGACGCCCTGCAGTAAAGCCGTGGTCAGTCAGGCGCTGAAGGACAGCTTTAACGGCTTCTCCAAGGTGCAGCGCGTCTGTGGGATCTCCAACAGTGAGTCTCTCGTGATCTCTGCTGTCTGTTTTGAGGACGGATGTGTTCGTGACGCTCTCTCTGTCCCGCAGACCCGTGTAAGTGGACCAAGCAGCACGTCCTGCAGTGGCTGTACTGGGCCTCCGGAGAGTTCAGTCTGACCAACATCAGCTTCTTCAAGTTTGACATGAGCGGCCAGGAGCTGTGCGACCTGGGAAAGGACGGATTCCTGGATCTGGCTCCGGATTTCGTGGGTGATATCCTGTGGGAGCATCTGGAGCAGATGACGAGAGGTAACGGAGGACTCCGGTCTCAGACGCTGACTGGCGAGCGGTGAGCTCACATTTGATTGGATGTGCTTTATTTCCCGCAGCGTGTCAGGAGGACGAGGAGGCCGAAGTCTGGAGCCGCTCGTCTGAGTGCGGCTGGAGTAAGTCTGCACTTCACTGCAACGTCTCTCGTTATGTTTTTGTGTTTTCTCATCTTGGTTTACATGTGCATTATTAGATCTATTCTGGACAGAGTCGAAGCTTTAGAAGCTGAATTAAGGCGAGACGCTACAGACAAAACCAGTGTGTTTTCATGCACTGCTCAGTTTTTTGCTCCATATCGTGTCTCTTCTTTCAGACTAGTGGAAAGAAAACACCCCAGATACACATTTACGTGTTTCTTTTATCGCACTATTCGCGTCTGTAGACTTTACTTTTTTTCTTTTCAAATTTCTTTGACACACAGCAGATTTTACAGTTTTATTCCTCTCTATATTCTGAAGGTTTGCTCATATGTGACCCTGCAGCACAAAAGCGGTCTTAAGTCGCTGGGGTATATTTGTAGCAATAGCCAACAATACATTGTATGGGTCAAAATTATAGATTTTTCTTTTATGCCAAAAATCATTAGGATATTAAGTAAAGATCATGTTCCGTGAAGATATTTAGTAAATTTCCTACCGTAAATATATCAAAACTTAATTTTTGATTAGTAATATGCATTGCTAAGAACTTCATTTGAACAACTTTAAAGATGATTTTCTCAATATTTAGATTTTTTTGCACCCTCAGATTCCAGATTTTCAAATAGTTGTATCTCAGCCAAATATTGTCCTATCCTAACAAACCATACATCAATGGAAAGATTATTTATTCAGCTTTCAGCTGATGCATACATCTCAATTTCAAAAAATTGTGTGTGTGTGTGTCTTTTGTGCTCCAGGGTCACATATTTCATTCACAATGATTTATACAAAAATGAAATTGAGATGTATACTGAAAGCTGAATAAATAATTTTGTACTGTATATGCAAATTAGTGCATATTTAATTAGGCAACGCCTCATTTGCATATATGCTGATTCTGAGTGTGTGTGTGTGTGTGTGTGTGTGAAGGTCTCAGTCTGGAGGAGTGTTCTCTGAAGGTTCCGGAGTCTCGCAGCAGTCTCCTGCGGGAGCTCTTCGAGACGTCTGAGGAGTCGGGTCTGCTGTTGTCCGGTCAGGAGCTCTCCATGTACCCCAAACCTCAGCTCAGCACCGTCAGCATCCGCTACATGAAAGCGTCTCCGCGTCTCAGCGCAGCAGGTCAGATCTCGCCCGCGTGTCTGTGTGTCTGGTCTCTCAGAGGCTGTGTGCTGACGGAGTGCTCTGTTCTCCACAGTCTCGTCCCGCGAGCAGACGTCGGTGGAGAGCGTGGATGGCTCGGAGAGTGTCCTCCGCTCCTGGGGGAGCCACTCGTCGCTCGCTGATGCCCAGCGCGTCCCGTCCTACGACAGCTTTGAGGAGGAGCTCTGCGTGGCTCCGCTGGGCCTCAGCAAACAGGGCCTGTCCTTCAAAGACTACGTCCAGGAGAGGAGCGAACCGCTGGAGCAGGGCAAACCCGTCATCCCCGCCGCCGTGCTCGCCGGATTCACCGGTGCGTCTCATTAATACAGCTAACACTGGCTCATTTCCACTAACTATGAGTGAAACCTACACAAAACAGTAGCTGACGCTCAACAGTTTATCACAACAACAGTTTTGGAGGGAGAAAATTGGTACATTTTGGCTGCATATCAATTTGATGTGCATCTGGGCATTAGAGGTCAAACATTTTCCTGTTCAATAAATGGTACAAAAACTATTCCAATTTTAATATAACAATTAAAATGATTGCATTCATTTAAAATATGCATTGAAATGAAAACTAAATAATAAAAATTCTAATTTACTATTCTAACCACTAGTTAAAATATTCATTGATATGAATAAATATTAATATCTATTAATAATACAAATTTAAATGTATTATTTTAACCTCTATTTAAAATATGCATTGATAATTAAAAACTATTGATTTTAATTAATAATAAATATCCGGATTTATTATTCTAGCCTGCATTTAAAGTATGCATTGATAGGAAAAATGCATATGGGTCAAACACGAAAAAGGGTTTAAGCATAAAAACAATGTGTAATACTGCTTTAAATTGTTGTTGTTTTCCCCAAAAAATTTGTAAAACTTATCAGGCATATTTACAACAAAAATCAATTTATGACATATTAAAACACTAATTACTTTCACTCCAAATACTAATTAGTTGTAATTTTACATTTTTTTAAATGTGCCACTATCCTAGGTTTTGCCCATTTGTCAGTAAGATTTTTTTACTCATTTAAAACACAATCAAATTTAATATGCTCTCTTATTCTTTTATATATTTTAATATGTACAGGTCAGAATAAGCATGTTTGAATTTTTACATAAATATTGTGTCACACTGAATGACAATGTAACATTATTTCAACCAAATTGTAACATTGTATCGTCCAAAAACTTATTTGGAACCTTAAAAGAAGACACTTTAGTTACATTTAATGTGCTTTCAATGGACATTATAATCACTTTTGTAAATTTCTTTTGATGCGGACATCTTAACGTCTTTGACTCCATATTTATTGTTCTAAACCATTTAAAATACGAATATTTATTAATCACATCAATGCATGTTTATTAATATTAAATAACTACTTATAATACGCATTGATATGATTATGTAGTACAAAACTTAAATGATCAAATAGTGAAAATTCTTAACTTTTTATGACCGTATTCTTACTAGTTAAGTATTTTTCAAATTAATTTGCATGTTGTGAATTCAGAGTTGCGAAGAGAGATGCGAATTTACACTGACGGCTTCCTAAAGACATGTGTAAAAGCATCATGAAAATGAGTGTTTGGGTGTCTGAGTCTTCAGCTGTATATGATTGGTGCTCCACAGGAAGTGGCCCCATTCAGCTGTGGCAGTTCCTGCTGGAGCTTCTGACCGACACCAGCTGCCAGAGCATCATCAGCTGGACCGGAGACGGCTGGGAGTTCAAACTCACCGACCCCGACGAGGTGAGGAGCAGAGCTGAAACCGGTTTAACGTCTAGATGGTTCATGGTGATCAGATGTGTTCTTGTGCCGTCAGGTGGCGCGCCGCTGGGGAAAGAGGAAAAACAAGCCTAAGATGAACTACGAGAAGCTGAGTCGAGGCCTGCGCTACTACTACGACAAGAACATCATCCACAAGACGTCCGGGAAGCGCTACGTGTACCGCTTCGTCTGCGACCTGCACAACCTGCTGGGATACACGGTGGAGGAGCTGCACGGCATGCTGGGAGTGCAGCCGGACACCGAGGACTGAAGCGCTCGCGGAGACACCCGTGTCACGTCCTGACCTCAGCGGAGGTCTCTGTTTCGTCACGCGGCCGGAGCGCGATCCTCGCTGCGGTTCTTCGGTCAGCCGAGCGTTAAACACACTTTTAAACACTTGACACTGGATTTGATTTTTCGACGCTGTGTTTACTAAAACCAGGTGATTCCTGTAATAATGTAGATTAACGAAGAGACGGGAGCCTTGGAGAGAGAGTTTATTTTCCGGGATCGGCTTGAGAGCCAGCGCTGATCTTTCCGTGTATTCAGAACTGGATTTTCAGGATCTGGTGGCCTGTCTAACGGAGAGACTCGATCACTCTGAACTTTGATTTTGCTTTGATTTGATCTGGTATATTGGTCCAGGATTTTGCGGCCGCTTCTGTTGTTCCTGTATGTTTTGTGAGCGTTTCGTTAGAAACCACTGTTCGTGAGACGCTCGGTGTATTTATTCGAGTCTAGCTGGACCGTGGAGGTGTTCTGTATTGTTGCTGGTTTTCGCTCGGGGCCAAAGGGACGTGGAGATTTCACGTCTGAATGTTTACCAAAGCTACGAGGCGTCTCGGCGCGGTTAACGCCAGACGCTGAGGAGACACCGAAAGCTGCTGTAATCTGTCGGTGCGTTCACTTTCGTTTCCTACACTGATGATCTTTCAGGATCAAACTGTAACTTTATGCTGTACATTTACTCCAGACTTCTACACTCTACATCACTGTAGAGGACTATTATTATTATTATTATTATTATTATTATGAGAATTTATACAGAAACCGTGTGATTATTCATCACTGTGTTTGTATTGTTTTTCTATATACAGTCTATTTTGCAAATGAATATAAAAAGAGCTTTGATTTATTGATCCGTTCAAGTGTTAAGAGATGATCTCTTTATTATCAAGGCTTTATTAGTCAAAGCAGCGCTGTTTGTGTTGAACGTCACAGTGATTTTTACACCGGTGGAAACATGTTCAGCAGGATCTGTATGTTTGAGCGGCGTTTGACTCGTGAGAATCTGTTCAGACGTGCGTCTTTATGTCATGAAAACGCTGCCAACGGCTTAGTGTCTCTGTGAAAGTCAACAAATAAATTCTTGTTAAATGACGTGACGTGTGGAGCCGTTTTCTCTGAATAGGTGCGTGCGTGCGTGCGCGTGTGTGTGTGTGTGTGAGAGAGTGTGAGTGTGAGTGTGAGCGCGTGTGTGTGTGAGCGCGTGTGTGTGTGAGAGAGTGTGTGTGTGTGTGTGTGTACCTGGTATTTATCACGTTATGGGGACCAAATGTCCCCACAAGGATAGTAATACTAGTAAATTGACCTTGTGGGGACATTTTTGAGGTCCCCAGTGTGTGTGTGAGAGAGTGAGTGTGTGTGAGAGAGTGTGTGTGTGTGTGTGAGAGAGTGAGTGTGTGTGTGTGTGTGTGAGAGTGTGTGAATGTTCTTCCTGTGAAGAGTTGATAGCCGATTACAAACACCATGAGAGATGATTTATCAGCGTATGAACACAGAATGAGCGTATCTGAGACGGGGAAAGAATGAGGAATGAAACTGATTATTATCTGTTCAGTAACCAGTTCTGCAGCATCTTTAACTCCATCTAATGATGATACAGCTTAAAGACACCTCATCCACAGGCACTTAACTAAACAACTATAATTAAACATTCTATACATTTACTAGTAACACTACTTATATATATATATATATACTTAGTACACGATGTGAGTCAGCGCTTCACTGCAGCTGCCGTTAGAAGTCCCGGTTGCTATAGAAACAGTACTGCGCATGCGCACTGGCTGGTCTAGCCTGAAAAATAAGCTTTTTTTAATGCTACTTGAGCAAAGGAAATAACATTTATGAGACGGTTGCTGTCAGATTTCATTAGTGATTTCAAATATAAAAATGTAATCTTAAACTTGGCAAACAGTTTTGGAGAATGGAATGGACTTTTCCTGAATGGACTTTTCGGACTATAAAGGTAATAACTAAACTCTTCTTAAAGGCACAATATGTAAGATTTTTTTTTATTAAAATATCCAAAAACCACTAGAACAGTGTTTATATATTTTGCTGACTTGTGTACTTACATTATCCCAAATGTTTCGAAGAATGTTTAAATCCAGAGAAATAAGCAATTTTAACTAGTGACACGGAGCGTGT